TCAGGTAGCACCTACCCCCTTTTTAATATATTTAGGCTCTCAAATTAAAATCACTTCAATGTTTGCATAATCCACATGGTTCTGCAGTAGACCTATTGATTCTTAAATTGCTATTGCCTACTCCACACCAATTAGCAATCAACCTTACATATGACTCTAGACACTAAAGTGAAAACATCATGCAAAGCTGATGATACACTGAAATATTCAGCAAAAATTTACAACTTGAGTTCTCCATAGGAACTGGGCTCAATTTAATTTCTGATGGCAATTTTGTTCCACCATCAATGATGAATGTATCCAATTACAACAAATGTCTTGTTTTTTAATTTAAACCTTCCAATTCCAGTCATAACTCATCACCACAGTCAAGAATATTCAAGTGTAAGGATGTACAGGAGATGCAGATCCCATGACCAAACTAGAGTAGTAGTCCATTCATAATGTGATTAGCTGAGGCTGCCCAATCTTGGCCAAAACAATTGATTCAACCTTTTAAAGAGAATGGGCTCAGCTATGCAAGTGGAATGCTTCTGCTTGCTGGTCATAATTCCCTCTTCCTTGCCACACCTTGCCTCTTGACCTCCCCAAGGAGCTTGGCAGTGATGGTTTAACCAAGTCATCTCCATCTTGATCATGTCCTATAAGTTACAGAAAGTTGCAACATGTCAAAGGAATGAGGCAGCATAATTTCCTAAGTATGATGGAACTCCTACATGGGAGCTTCTTCTAGGTACAGAAAATACTACCTTAGGAGCAAATCTCCATAATTTATGAGCTCCAGTAGATATGTGATTGCTGAAATATTATAGAGAAATATTTCATCTACTCCAGTAGATATGTGATTGCTGAAGTTGCAGAAAGCAAACTGATCCACTTATTATCTGAGTACAGCTATCACTTTCAACTACTTGTATAACATAAACTATTTCATTAGTAGTATAGGATTCTGGTTAACTCCATTTCCTGGAAGTTCCATCAGTCGACATCCTCCAGAGAGAAGGATCAGCAGGAAGGATCTAATCATGGTAATCTCTGGAAGAAATGTTTTACTCCCAAACATGGACTCTTTCTTTAGCCATAGGAACTAAATATGCATTCTGACATGATGGCAATGTCTGTTGTGTGTCATCTGCAAGCTCAAAAGAACAACTCTAAGAAGCAAGAAAATGATTCCTGATTGCTGACAAGTTAGTCTATGTAAACTTTCCTGTGATTGACATTGATGGTATGTACTCAAAGAAGATGGAAAAAAAAAATGTTGATTGAACAACTTGGAAATTAGGTAACAGAAACTATCTTCACACAGAATTCTGAGAAGCTCTGCTGACAATGTTTCATGTGAGATCAGGTACAAATGGATTGGTATATATGCATCAATCTTGGCAAATTTAGCTTGGTTAATGATGTAGGGGCCAGCTAACATTGTTGGAATCACATTGTCAAACAGCCTGATTTCTTTCCTAGTTGTTGTGCATCATAGAGTAGTGCCTGTGGAATGTTTTCTTTGGCAGAAGATTTCAACTTCTTCCTGAAGGCTGTTCAACTTGCATGCAAGTACTGTGTTTCTCCACCATGTTGGTGGGAACACTGTATCTACTCCATATGTGATGCATACATGAAAATGACTTTCTATATTTAGACCTTGTACACCAGACAAAATGAAAGAATACACAATGTCAACAGTGTCACAGGGGAACATGAGAGCCTAAGAGTGTGTCACAGGAAGCTTCAACTTTGCTGGAGTTACAAGCCACCGAAAGCTTTTCCATTGCCCATGTGATGAGACACAAACTTTGACTGAACTATCATCCATGAGAATCTCATTATATCAGACAAGCCTCTCATGTTGCTTGAGACCACATAAGAGCCTTGATGTGAAATCACTTTTGAAAAGCAGATCCTCCAAGATCCAAATTGCTCGAGTGAGTCAAAGGAAGACCGCTGTTGGGGGAGTGGCAGGGTGAGAGACACAATACATCCACCAAATCAACTGCACTCTTCCTTTCGACCAAGACAAACATATGGATTGTCAATGATGATGATGCAAGAAAAAGACTGCTTGCTTGATTGATTGGTTAAATGGCTCATTTGTCAGAACTTTTAGCATGCAGGATGTGGTAACCAGTGGAGGTTGAGTGACCTGAGAAGCTAAAACTTTTCATGATCTTGATGTGTATCATAGCTTAATGATCTGCTCAATACTCTGTCATCAACCAAAACTTGTCTTAGGCATCCATTAGCTTTGATCACCCTCATGGAATCATTGCTTCAAGTACATAATTGTATTAGTTATGACACTTGAGCTCGCCTCAAGGTGAATCAGTAATTGACTTCAAGAAAAGGAGCATGCCATGCTTGAGCTCTTGAGCTAACCAATCTTAGAGCAGATGCCACTCTCACATATGAACACACAGTATTTTGGCTGGAAGAGAAAAGGGCATTAACTTGAAACAAAGCCATTAAGAAATCTCTCTCTCAGAGTTGTGGGCTCCGTAAGATCCCTGCAAGATTCGTGTCCCTCTCTCCAAGTAGTGGCTAGCAGATACGTACAAGCGCAACCGGATGCCGACATTCCAAACTTCAGGTTTCAGTCAAAATCCACTCACCCACAGGTAGATCCATTTTACCGCATGCGTTCTCCATAGTCGCCATGCTTTAGATGGGTACAGAAACCGGTTGGGAGCCCTAAAATTGCGGAGAGCAAGACTTGCGTGGAGCTGAATTCTTTGACGAAGTGATGAACACTAAAAGTTCAACATTCTTCGATCTATTCCTCATGAACAAGTGCAGAAAACTAATGTCATGCTGAAAAGATGATGAACAAGAACCCAATTTGCTTCTTGTTCTTTTAATTCCTTGGACTAAAAATGGTAGCAAGCAGGCACATGGTGTTGCTTGTTCTACTTGTGCGCTGCACCTGCTCCTGGGTGGCCTACCAATCCTGCGGTTTGTCTGCTCTCATGCTCGAATGTCACTAGAAACTGCTACACTTTGTTGGTAGACGTAGACATACTGATTAAAGAGACAAGGAAGACAGATCCAGTGGAGCTGAAATATCTTCACCATGTCCACAACTAACTCTGCACAGCATAAACAACACAACATGTCAACCAACATCTTCGACTTCGCCCTGTTGGGACCCTGTCCGACTATCCTCAAGCTTCAGGTTTCCACACCAACTCCCTCACCCACCGTTGCTTTATTGTCCTTTGGGTTGTCCTCATTGCTTTCTTTACGTTATTTTTCTCCCTCCCTCTCGCTTTGTACAAAACTATTTAGGACAGGAATGGTTTCTGACTATTTTGCTCAAAGGCAGTTGGTCCAGTGGATACCATCCGGGGGTTGGAAAGCATAGGAAGGATGACAGAGGAAGGGAGAAAGAACAGCACGGTTTCGCCATGCGCGGCATGCAAGCTCTTGCGGCGACGGTGCACACAGGAGTGCGTCTTTGCTCCATACTTCCCAGCCGACGAGCCGCACAAGTTCGCCATCGTGCACAGGGTATTTGGAGCTAGCAATGTCAGCAAGCTCTTGCAGGTCTCTCTCTCTCTCTCTCAGACACACACACACACAGCAATTCTTGAAGAGTATGGCTGCAGAGACGCAACACGTGAAGCTTTTATGACAGGAGATTGCAGTGCAGCACCGAGGGGATGCAGTGAGCAGCCTGGTGTACGAGGCCAACGCCCGGGTGCGAGATCCGGTGTACGGGTGCGTCGCCGCCATCTCCTCCCTCCATCGCCAGATCCAGGCGCTCCAGGCGCAGCTGGCCGTCGCCCACGCGCAGATGGCGCACCTGCGCACGCAGAACGCCGCCTGCCTCGACCGCGTCGGCCTCGGCCACGGCCAGATCTCCATGGGCGGCACAGGTTGCAGCACCAGCACAGGCTCCTCGTCATCCCTGTCGCCCAAGCACCATACCCTGGACACGGTGGCGCTGGACCAGCCTGGCTCCAGTCAGCCACCAGTTTGGTGATAGCAGCCATACAACACCGGTGTTCTCCTCCTCTTGTGAATAGGATTTTATGCCGATGCAGCAGTCTACTATATTTCATGATCATGTCTGCATATTGTTCCTCCTTCGTTGTAAGCATTTTAAGAACTTGCGACTCGGTATTCCATTCTACTATGGTGTAATAAAGCAGCAGATATCTTTATCACCGGCCAACATCTCATCGTGATCTCTCACAATCATGTTACCGATATCTATTATCATCTGCTTGACATGATATCACCCTCTAATCGTTACGACCGGTGCCATGTTCTCAGGGTTTACTGCACGATCATTAGAATCTAATGTAGGAAAAGATCAATAACAGTTCAAGATATTAAATTATGACATCAGGTGCAGCGATAGTAAATCTTACTATATAAAAGTCACTTAGGTACATAATCAATATAGATCGATACTATTTATAATTATATCTAATTCAAAAACTAACTTAAGCTTCAAAGAGACGTATTCTTCGACACATTCTAATTCAGTCACTAATTAAAATATTAAATATGAAATAATATTATTAAGAAATTTTATCTAATTCTTATAAATCAAGTCAAATATTCAAAGCAGGAAGATTGAGAACGATTGGATTGGCTGGCGATCCTTATTTTGATTTGATCAGGGGTGGGCCCATCGGCTGACGTGGTTAACCTAATCGAAGCAGCCGGTATTCTTTCCTCATATCCACGCCACTGACACCGAGAGAAGCAGCGGTTGGATTATTATGCTTCTTATCTTTCTCTACCACTTTGGAGAAGCAGAGCAGTAGACAGAGAGAGATGATTGAGATCGGGCTTCGGTTGGAAGAAGGAATAGCAGATGTTACATGAATTTTTCTGAGGGCGAGCATGAGATCTCTTCTGTAGACAGCGAGTCCGTGACAAGGATATGATCCGCGTTCAACTTTCCATTGATCTACCAGACCAGTCTTGGCTTTTTGCTGAGGGATCAGTGAGAGAGAGGGAGAGCAGAAAGAAAGATCAAGTTTTGATTGCATATGGGGAAGAAGAAGGCTAAGAGGAGGTCGATCAGCGAGTCGTCGGGGCAACCCGTGGATAAAGAGCAGGCTAAGAGAAGACGAGGCCGGCCTCGGAAAGTGGTCGCAGAAGAGGAAGATAAGCTGAAGAAGAAGAAGAAGAAGGTGGGGAGCGGAGGCGAAGAAGAGGAGCGAAAGGGAGCAGAGGAATCCTGTTCCTCGTTAGCTGCTGCTGCTGCAGTTGCTGTTGCTGATGACGATGATGATGATGATGACGACGAGGGGAAGGAAGAGGCTGGGGAGATGGAACCAATCCAACATCAAGAGGAAGAGGACAAGCCAAGGAGCAGAACAAGGAGAAAGAGCCAGCAGCCCCGCAAGAGCACCTAAACCCATCCACTGTACACTTCTGCTAGAGTTCTGTGTTGGTTAGATAAATCCATTTAACCTTTTCCCTCTGCTTCTTCTGCTTTCTTTTCTTCTATGCTAAGCTTTCATGTTGGAACTTAGCAGTTGTTTGATTGCTCCATCTTGGTGAGATCATTGATCCCGAGTATGGGCTTGAGCACTACTTATGGATACTGTAGTTCTCTTTCCTGAACAAAACAAGAGAGAAACTGTCAGTGTTCAGCATATCCTTGCATCTATATCAATTTTTATTGGGATCTATATACATGTTCAGTGATGGTTTATCTTCCTGTGCACTATAGAAGGGCATAAAAATGCTAGTGTAACAATAGCTTTCACAAGAAGATAGCATATTCAAAATTTTACAGAGCTACACAAAAAAATTGATGCTTTCTCAAGGTATTGCAATAGTTATTTACCTATACAATTACTGCTGGTCTATTTATAACCAGATCAAGAGCTCCTTCAGATGGTCCCAACCCACATTAAGTGCCCTTACCAGACATCAAGGTTAAGTCTTGCAGCATCCTATTACATAATAGTAGATGACTAAAGCAAAGGATACCTTATACTAGAACAGCTAAAGTAACATATCCCATGGGTAACTAATATCATTGTTTTTGGGTCATCTACCAGTATTATTTCTTTGCTGCAGCACCTAACTTAGAAATCATAGGTCATATATTCCAAGGCACATCACACTATATACCACATCATCATAAGGAACAACATTAGTGCACACCATATTAGACAGCCCTAAAAATGAATTGGTGAAAATATCTGAAACAAATGTTTAAGATAAAGAAAACCAATGAGGGCCTTCATACTACAAAGCTGGATGTGACAATGGAAGCTATTCTTGCCAACAAAATTGTGCTATGTGAGAACCTAAGCATTTAGGTAGGCCCAAACCTCATCAATTCGATGAGAAGGTTAAAAAAGATGACCCAACTTTTACGCATTCCCAGAGGTCAATACTAGAAGAACTCCTGACCCACTGAAGGGTCATCGGGAATCAGATGTATGAATTGGACACCGGTGGAGATGTGGTCAATGCAACCGGAAAGTTCAAAGTAAAGTTGCAGCTACCTTGCTTTCTGAGATGTACATAGGATAATTCTCCCAAAATTCCCTGCAACAGATGTAGATAACCAAGCCGTCAAGATTTAGAGCAACCATCTCATTATGATCTCATTGATAGAAGCAGATGTTTGACCAAACATCTAAATTTGACCTTCTCATTGATCCAAATAGATGTGTAGCAAAAACACTACATTTTGACCAGTTCATTGGTCAAAAGGATTCCTCTCTGGAGGGCATTACATGCAAAAATTTATCCTACCAGATTAGGCTAATCATAAGTTCACAATCATGTGTGTCAGCATCCTGAGAATAATGCAGTACACATACTTTACAGCAAGAGTTAAAACCATATTGATAAAAGAAAGATTTACCAGGATAAAACTGATCTGGCAGTGCAACTACTTGTTGGGAAAAATGCATAATGCTATCTGAACCTGAACCAGCAAAATCTGACGAGCAGCTCCATGGTGCCTCTTTTTCCTTGTATCGACATTGATCTGGATCAAATTCTCTGCACCATATATACCCCAGGATCATATAGTCTTCCGTCTTAGATGACTTTCTTGAAGACACCTGTTGCCAGTTATGGTAAATTGAAATCAGTTGCCATGGAACACCACCAAGAAAAATGCAGGGCATTTTACAAATATCTGCTTTCTCTGTTCTTTCCCATGATGAGCTTTGATCCCTAGTCAGTCAAATCAGTTCATTACTAATGATATCAGAATTTCAATCTTTTATGCATGTTTAATGAATCTGACAATGAAACAAGCCAAGCATTAGTAGTAAGTAGTAACACACCCGTATTACACTACTCATGAAAGCTAGTTCTGGACAAATCTTTGGCAACATTCACATAGCAAAATTTGACAACTCTCTCCCAAGGTTATCATAAGAGTGGAGCGTAAGCCCAACATTTGACAGCAATATCTTACTTATCCTTTGCATATAAGTCATAAAAAATATAAGCAAAATTCAGTTGCCCCTTAAACAAGCCACAAGAAACACAACATCTCTTTGGTGTGATATGCTTTCAATCAGAGGCAACAAGGACATGCAATTCTAAACTTCCCTACTGCCATTTGTCCCTGAGATATTGTCTTACTATCACCGACTATGTATTATTCGCTGGCTTGTGCATTTTTATAAGCATGATTGCATGTGGAAGAAGCAGCACAATAGCTACATTTTTCGAAATCCTAGCACCAAATGTTTCACTGGTAGGAATCTTGAATCTACCCAACTTTTCTCCAGCATAAATAATCATGTAAACACAATTGACATCCACACTGGGTATTCCACTAATGGAACAATTCCTTGTAACCCTACTTGACAAAATTCTACTTTGAACTTCAATTTTGTGCTATTTATGTACATTATAATCTCCATTTTTATTATAGAGGCAGGGCAAGATGTTATAGACATACGGCCTAACAGAAGATTGCCTTGAACCACAATCGGGCAATTCATCCATCCATGCGCTCGAAGACCAGGCAGCCAAAGCTCCACAAGGGCAGAAAGGATGGTCAGAAGAAAATACAATGAGCAAAATGAACATTCAAAACCTTCTGTCAGTTAATGTTGCACACTTGTGAACCAGACAGAAGGATTGACAACCAGAAGCAGGATCCAAAGTGACATCAGAATCACCAAATCAGTCTTACCTATGACTCTCTATGCCGCAAAATGAGTGCTTGGCAGTTTCATATCGCTGCAACAATGATGTAATTGGCAAAAAGATGCCTTATTTAATCAATTCAGAAGCTTGTTTTCAGTCAAGTGCATAAAAAATCGTTAGTAAAAGAAATGGCAAGAGATAAGAACCTGTGCCGGCGGTCGACGAGGTCGAAGGCGAGGCCGAGGGAGCGAAGATGATCAGAGAGGCGGCAGGCGAGGGTCCTCGTCGTGCCGGTGGCGGAATCATACAGGATATTGCCTCTAGGCCTAGGGTTTCGATAGTCAAGGAAAGAAGGTGACGAGAGGGGAAGCGGCGGCGGCGGCGGCGACGGAGGGGAGAGCAGGGAGAATGAGTCGAGGGGAGGGTAGATGACAAAGGGGTATTTTGGATTTTTTGCTGCCATCCGGCGGGACGGATGGAACCGGGCCTAATAATGGGCCGGATTTGAATACGGATCAAGATCTGATCCGTTACATGAGTCCCTAACGTTATATTGGACGCGACCGGGACGAGGCGTCATATTCCCATCGCTGCCCCATTTTTCGTTCGCCATATCTGGCTTTCATTACGTTCGTTTCCGTATCATCGATAGGGTTGCAGCGCGCTCTCCATTTCCGATCTCTACATGGCGGCGAGGATCATGGCACAGCGAGCTATGCAGGCTCTTCGTGCAGGGCAGCCGGTACAATCTCATCCCCTTTCCTCAACTCCATCCCAGATTTCTTGATCTATGACACATGCCCTCGTGCGATTGGGATTTCGAACCCGAAAGATTTCATCTTCGTCCGGGATTCGTTTAAGAGAGAAACAAAAGAGTACCATTGTGATCGGTTTCATCTCCTTAGATCTGTAGATTGTGAATCATTAACAAAATTTGACTTTATAGTGATCAGTAGCTCGGGTCTGGGAAGGTGTTCATTTGATTAAAAACGTCATTTTTTTTTTTGTATTTGATGGTATAAATCTGCATCTATGAAGAATTTTAATGATCTTCCTACGCGGAATAGTAGCTGCTCATGTTCGTTATTGATATATTTTCTCATCATGGTGCCCGCTTCCTGCTGCCTAGGGCATGAGTGTTTACACATGATCCAGGTGATGAGTCGACTTTAGTATTCTTACTTGTTCAAGGTTGCTCTCCACTTGGATATCTTGTTCTTTATTGAAAATAAATAGGAAGTAAGCGTTACAAAAATAAGCTTGGGCTTGATGGTATGTGGTCTAAAGAATAGACAAGTAATTCTTGATATAGGAAATAGATATGTGATGACTTATTTCGTTGAACATCATAATTAACATGACTTTGTTATCTTTCTACTTTTCACAGGAAACAAACCAAAACATTGTTTCAATCAAGGTATGCAATACCATACCGTACCGGTATTTCGAGGTTGGTTCTGTACGGAATGGTACCATGTACCGCTCAGTACACCAGGGCGTACTGAATAGTTTTAAATATTTCTTCCTCTTACTGTAGCACTGTAGCACAACTGGTCCAGCAGCGGACGGTCCGCGTACTGGTATGCCGTCGGACCGGTATGTACCGCCCATACTGGGCGGTACTATTCGAATTTATATACCATGGTTTCAATTATCTCAGAGAATCTTTGGCATGCCAGTATGTTTAGGAATCATAAAGCAAATATGGCATCTTTTTTTCCTGAATTATGTGTGTTTCCGAAGTAATTGTGCCATCTTTTTTTATTTTTTAATGGTATTCAAAAGCGAGTACATTAGATTTTTTCCTCCCAAGAAGAACAAAATATGGAGATGTATTTTGATACCGTTTGAAACTTTTCCTGGTAAGCAAATGTTTTCTGGACATGTTGTTGGGATCTTATTTGTTGTTCAAAATGAAAGAAACTTTTACTGTCTATTTCATTTTCCTCTTTAGTGATCGCCATCAGTGTTTCTTTCTTAAAGTAGACGTATGTTCAGATGCTTATTCAAAAACTACAAAGTTCATTACTTTGGCAATATCTTTACTTTTTTCACAACAGCTACAATTGATCATGCTCTGCTGTAGCAAGGAATTTTTTTTTTTCTTCTGAGAAGAAAGATATACTAATGTTTTCATGTAATTATAGGCCCAAGGTAGACAATCTTCGTTGGTGTTGAAAAATCACTGGCAATCATTCAATTCAGGCTCATCATCTTCAAAATTTAAAGGTTAGAATAATGATGTTGTGCTGGTGGAGCAATTGCTTTAAGATATCTGTGC